CAAACCTTGCTTTGTGAATTCGGGCCAGTAAGCATGGCTGAGATTTGTAAAAGTTGTTTTTACAAAGAAGTTTCGGGTGAATAGCAGTGCTTATTCAAACGAATATTCGCATCAATTTGAATCACAATCATTATTTGTCGCTTAATCCCTTTTAATGACCATGTTTTCTTTTTCGTCATAAAGACATCATAAAGATCAGTGTTGTATGCGTATATTATATACACAGGCCAGTAACAGCTATGTAGCTTGTAAATTTGTAAGAGGGAAAATGCTGATTGAAATGATAATGATGAAATAGCAAATAATTGAAGAGTATCATAGGTACCACTTAAATGGATATTTGTATAAAAAAAGAGCCCCCGTGAGAAGGCTCACGGGGGCTCTTTTTTCGGGGGAAGAGCCCCCGTGGACAAAAAATTAATTTGAGCCCTGAAACACAAATTTCGGAAATTATGTCATTTCAGCATTATTTGTAATCCACCGTTGTGGAATTAGAAATAAACCACGTTTGAATTTGACTTCTCCCAACCCCCCTATCAGTATCTCCTCTTTTCCTTTTTTTTCTTTCCCTTTCCTTCCTTCTCTCTTATTTGTTTTGATTGGGGGGGGGGGGGTGTTAACAGCCTGGGAGGCAAGGCCCTTTCGGCCCCCCGATCTCCTTCTTCCCCCTTTTCTTTTCTTCTTCCTCTTCTTTCTTTCCCTTTTTCTCCTTTTCCCTTTCCCTTCTTTTCCTTTCTTCTCTTTTTTTTTTTGCGGGGGGGGGGGGGGGGCCAAGGCACGCTCGGCCCCCCCCTGGATCCGCGCCTGATATATTATGTATATATACATAGTTTATCAACATTCACATTTGTCATGATTTAATTGAAAAAGAATTACTCTATATCAGTGCATCCACATAAAAGCATATTACCATTGTAGTATTTTCCTCATTTCATCTTGCTTTATTTCTCAATTTCATTTGTCACTTTGCAAACCCAATTTGGGGGGACATTGCCCTCTAACATAAGCCAGACACTGCCACCCCTATATTTATCAACAAGTGTCAGCATAATGGTTTCAATGTCCCTGTACCTGGTAATCACCAGTGACTCATTCTCCCTTCCCAGAAATTGGTATAGAACCCTCTTTGTTTTATCCTGGCTCCCAAGAAGGATGAAAACAACATCATACTCTCTAACTTTCTTCACCACTACACTTCTCATAGTTCTTCGATGAAGTAACACGTCAATATGAGAATGTCACCTCTACCATCACCATTTGCTCAATGCATACACAAGGAGCAAATCCTTCTACAATTCTAACTCTCCTTCATTTCATTTGGAGAATTCTCTTCCGTGCCTATCACCTCTTGTATGGCACATAAACTCCTTATCCTGCCCTCTTCAAAGGACTGGCAGTCTTGCAGTGGAACGCTTAAATCAGAAACCGACATGGCTCCTGATTCTCCGCTGGGAGCTGCTAGCTGCTTCGTTCCGGTAGCTCTCTTCACACCCGAGCTCGATTCACTGTAGCTCGTCTGAACTTTCATCAACGAGTCCATCTCACTGCAACTCTTGATGATTTCACTTCAAAGTCCGGCTCATCGATCCAGCATCGAGCGACTCACTGCTCTTCACGATCACCACTATACCGGCTTTGATGTCTGCATTTCAACCTGGGCCCCGACATCGAGCAACTCACTACCTCGTCGTCGAGCGCCACATTTCTTCTCTTCTCTTCTCTTCTCGCCCGAGCGCTACATTCATCATCATCATGAGCGTCGGCATCGACATCGCGTTCTTCTCGGCTCTTCAGCCACGTCAACGAAGTCGCGTTTCCATCATCAAGCCTCCGCACAATCATCGCGTGAGCCCCTTTCTTCGTTTCATCCGTCATCATCTTCATGGACTTTCGACGTCATTTCTACCATTGTCGTAAGCAGCGCTCAAAATACACGGGGGCGGTGGGCGATTCGCCCCCGTGAGCTACAAAATCGCCCCCGTCAGGTTGCTCACGGGGGCGATTGCAAAATTAAAAATCGCCCCGGTGGAATTATAAAATAAAGATAAGGGACTTTTAGATTTGCACGATGAGAACGTAGACTGCAACGTGTGACCTCCTTTTAAGGCACTGCCAGTGCTTAAAAGGACGTCACATGTGATTGCCAGTGCCTTAAAAGGACGTAACACGTCCACGTCCACGCAAAATAATCTAAAAGTCCCTTTTGAGGAGAAGAGGAAGACCAAAATGTCGTGGAATGATATGGTAACATGGGCAGATCTACGGCAGGGGGGGGGGGGTAGGGGTTTAACCCCCTCCTCCCACCCCCGGCCCCCTTGGGCTGCCAAGTGAAAATGTGATATTAAAGCGGGGGGGAGGGGGATTCTGGAGAGGAGGACTACTAATCTATTTTATTTTTTTCAGGGGGCGGTGGGAAGTGAAGCGCCGTTTTAGCATGACTTTCTTTTTAACTCTTACTTTCACCTATCTCAGATAACCCTAAGTTTTTGGTTGCTGCTTTATATGTAGTTGATAATGCATGATTAAAATAAAGAGAGAGAGAGAGAGAGAGAGAGAGAACCACCATCATTTTGCAATGGTTCAGGGTTCGTGTAATGTACATTTGAAACCATTTCTTAGCGTCTCGACCCTAAAAAAATAGCAAAACTATTTTTGAGGAAAAGCATTATACTGAATTAAATAAAGAAAAATAGCTTTATATTGGATCATACTAAGACTGATACGGACTAAAGACAATGTGGTATTTGTATAGATGTATTCCAAAAAGACATTCTGATAATCAACATTTGTTCTGGTATCATAATGTATATACGCATAATACAACTGATCTTTATGATTTCTTAACGTGACATAGCTTCTTCTCCCTCTGCAAACAAAACAGAAAACAAGGTTATTTAATAAAAGGACCATGCGACAAATAATCATTGTGATTCAAATTGATGCAAGGATTTTTTTTGAATAAGCAATGCTTTTCACCAGAATCTTCTTTGTAAAAACGACTTTTACAAATCTCAGCCATGCAATTCTGCCACTGTGCTGTAAGATCACTTTGAGATTAGGAGAAGTGTATTATGTAATGGGTATTTTAAATTGAATGGAACGTCTCAACTAAGCATGGCTGAGATTTGTAAAAGTTGTTTTTACAAAGAAGATTCGGGTGAATAGCAGTGCTTATTCAAACAAATATTCGCATCAATTTGAATCACAATCGTTATTTGTCGCTTAATCCCTTTTAATGACCATGTTTTCTTTTTCGTTTGCAAGGGGAGAAAAGATATGTCACGTTAAAGACATCATAAAGATCAGTGTTGTATGCGTATATATTATATACACAGGCCAGTAACAACTATGTAGCTTGTAAATTTGTAAGAGGGAAAATGCTGATTGAAATGATAATGATGAAATAGCAAATAATTGAGGAGTATCATAGGTACCAATTAAATGGATATTTGTATAAAAAAGAGCCCCCGTCAGTAATAAAAGGGCCCCCGTGAGAAGGCTCACGGGAGCTCTTTTTTCGGGGGAAGAGCCCCCGTGGACAAAAAAATAATTTGAGCCCTGGTCGTAAGCTCTATTTATTCATCGCATTCAATCTATTCATGTCCATCTCATACATGACCATTTAAACTCCGTGCAATATCCACGATCCTCATTAATGTGATTCACATTCTGAATCATTTATTTGCTTGCATGACTACACTTTGCAAGTGTTGTGTCTGCAAATCAGTACCCAATAAAATAACGAAAAGGGAATACTTTTTATCATGTATTTTATTGCCAGTGCAACCTTGTTTCCTCGTAGTTAAATTAAAAAGAGAGTTATGTTGTGAGATCAGTGAACACGCCTTTACAATTTCCATTCACAATTCATCTACACACCAATAATTCTTCACCATCAATGTAACTTGGATGCTGGTGTGAGGAAATATTAAGATTCTTAGGGGGGAAATGTACACTGTCGCTCATAAAGTTGGAATATTTTTTGTTTTACCCCAATTTATGAAAATTTTAAAAATAATTTAAAAATATTAGATCTAGATAATAGTATACATTCTCAGATTTTATTGAAAAATAATTGGACAATGTGTGTTTTGCGTGACTGCTAAAGCATGTGTAGGCTACTATGCTTATCAACTAGGGGACCTACGCCCTTAAGTCATAAATGACAGTAATGAGGAGTAATGCCCCACAAAAGGGAACTTATATAGCTAGGGTAGGGGGCAGTTTCCATAAATTAAAAAAAGGAAAGAAAATGCAATAAATTATTGCATTTTACCCCGGTTCCCAACATAAAAAAAATCCTCTGTGTGCCCATGCCTTGAGCCATTGTGCATGGCCGTCCAGAGGATTTTTTTTTATGTTGGGGACCGGGGTAAAATGCAATAAATTATTGAAAATTTGTTGCATTTTCTTCTTTTTTTGTTTTATGGAAACTGCCCCCTACCCTAGCCCCCGCTGCGAACAGTTATGGTTCAGTGACAAAGCAATGGCCTCGTAACTGTGAGGCCCCAGGATCAAAACCGTGTGATGATTGGTTTGTCTGATTTTTCTGCCTCTATTATAAGTAAGTTATTTTTGGAGTGGACTTGCCCTTTATTGGACCCTCTATATTTAAAAGATCTTTTCATAGTCTCAGTCTTTGGTCTTATTTGTTTCACATTGTACATACTTGAACGTGTATTGTATGTATATGGTCAGCAAATATAAACCTTTCTTAATATTCAGGAGCTTGTTTGAGACAATCTAGTTATACATCATAATTGCTACATTGATTATTTTTTCTATTATTGTCAAGTGTTTTCCAATTTCGTCTTGTTAAATTTCTGATGAGGAATACTAAGAGGACCTATTGACTATTCGTGCTGCTCTATTCTGAATTCTGTGCACAAAGAGGTCTATATATTTGGTCAATATAATTATATTGATATAAATTGCAATGTGATTGAATCGTGCATACAGCCAGGCTCAATATACGTACAGACGGCCCTACTAATACTCACCCATGAGGTAGGCCTTGTAGTTTTGCACACAAATCTTTCTTCCTTTCACTTCAGCTGAAATGATATGAGTGGGATTTCTCAGTGCCAGACCACAAATTGATGTAATATCCATTTGGAATGACTGTTGTTTTCCGTACTGCGTATATAGACGAAACCAGGGATCATGTACAACCGCCAGTACTCAGTTGAAAAGGTCAATAATACATACAGCATCAAACAAAACGCGGCACACGAGTTTATCACCAAGAATTTTGTTAATGCATGTTTCCTGTAGATTGGTTTCATATCATATTCGCTAAATGCACAAAGCTCAGTAGCAGAAAAAGCTCGTGTAGCAGAACAAATAAAATGCACACAGCTCTGCAGAGTTATGAAGTTGATACGGTTCTTCCTGGAGGAAACAAATGTAGGCCAATGTACTATTGTTCCCGGAACAGTTGATAACATCGTGCGTATTTTTTTCTTCATAGTGTGTGCGTGTGTTGTGTGTTTGGAAAGGCTAACGAGTTTCAAGGTGATTTCCCGTGTTATATGTTTGGAGATCGATGTCAAAAGTCGATATGGTACGAATAGAAGTGAATGTGAGCAGGCGCAATGTGACATGCCTTGGATGATCGAGTGAGTGACCTTTTTAATATTATTCTACTACATGCAGGGGCGTCGCTAAAGGGGGGGGGGGGGGGGGTGTGGGTGGTGCGACACCCCCCTGTCAGGATATTGTCGGTAAAGTTGCGCTGCTGTCGGGAAAAATGAGAATAGGGGGAGGGGAAAAAATGAGAGGGAAAATGAAAGAAAAGAAAAAAAAAGGAAAAGGAAATAAAAGAAAGGAAAGAGAAGAGAAGAAAGAAAGAGAAAAAAGAAAAAGAGGAAAGAAAGAAAAGAAAGGAAAAGGAGAAAAGGACAAAAAGAAGGGAAAAAGAGAAAAAGGAAACAAAAGAAACGGGGGGTGAAAGAGAGGAGAAAAGGAAAGGGTGGCAAGAGCCTAAGAGAGGAGGGGTGGGGGTAAGAGAGAGAGAGGGGAATGTTGGGTGGAGTCACCGCGTCGAGGGGGTAAGAAAGATAAGCATAGATAATTATGTTGCTGTGTCGGGTCTGCTGTGTCGGTATACTTGTTCGATTCTCGTGTATTATGTCAATGCAGAAGTTTGAAGTCGGTGAGATGTAATAAGTCGGTCGGCCGGCAAATTTGTTTTCCCCTACGAACTGTGACTTTTTATCGGACAAAGAAACATTTTTGAAAATTAAGACAATGATTAAGTGTCGGTAAAACTAATCTAATCTTCTTTCTCTAATAATTTGATGAAACGTCAAAGCTTCCGCGCTTTGCGCGGGAGGGGGGGGGGAACTGAATTTATACGACAAGGGAACGGTACAACGGATCGTCTTCTTTCTCTAATAATTTAATGAAACGTCAAAGCTTCCGCGCTTAAAAGTCGAAAACAGTCCAACGAATCGGCTTCTTTCTCTAATAGTTTAATGACACGTCAAAGTTTCCGCGCTTCTCGCAGGAGGGGGGGGGGGACGACGAATTCAGACAAGGATTAAGAGAAATAATTTAATGACTCGAACGTCAAAGCTTCCGCGCTTCGTGCGAGAGGGGGAAACTGAATTCAGATGAGGATTAAGAGTGTAGGACGGTACAACGAATCGTCTTCTTTCTCTAATCATTTAATGAAACAGCAAAACTTCCGCGCTTCGCGCGGGAGGGGGGGGGGGGGGAGGGGAAACTGAATTCAGACAAGGATTAAGAGTCGAAAACAATACAACGTATCGTCTCCTCTCTCTATTCATTTAATGAAATGTCAAAGCTTGGTAATTGGTGGCTAGTTTAGTCGGTTAGCCTCTACACCCCACCCCCAGTGAAAAAGGTCTAGCGACGCCCCTGACTACTAGAAAAGGAAAGGGTGGCAAGAGCCTAAGAGAGGAGGGGTGGGGGTAAGAGAGAGAGAGGGGAATGTTGGGTGGAGTCACCGCGTCGAGGGGGTAAGAAAGATAAGCATAGATAATTATGTTGCTGTGTCGGGTCTGCTGTGTCGGTATACTTGTTCGATTCTCGTGTATTATGTCAATGCAGAAGTTTGAAGTCGGTGAGATGTAATAAGTCGGTCGGCCGGCAAATTTGTTTTCCCCTACGAACTGTGACTTTTTATCGGACAAAGAAACATTTTTGAAAATTAAGACAATGATTAAGTGTCGGTAAAACTAATCTAATCTTCTTTCTCTAATAATTTGATGAAACGTCAAAGCTTCCGCGCTTTGCGCGGGAGGGGGGGGGGGGAACTGAATTTATACGACAAGGGAACGGTACAACGGATCGTCTTCTTTCTCTAATAATTTAATGAAACGTCAAAGCTTCCGCGCTTAAAAGTCGAAAACAGTCCAACGAATCGGCTTCTTTCTCTAATAGTTTAATGACACGTCAAAGTTTCCGCGCTTCTCGCAGGAGGGGGGGGGGGACGACGAATTCAGACAAGGATTAAGAGAAATAATTTAATGACTCGAACGTCAAAGCTTCCGCGCTTCGTGCGAGAGGGGGAAACTGAATTCAGATGAGGATTAAGAGTGTAGGACGGTACAACGAATCGTCTTCTTTCTCTAATCATTTAATGAAACAGCAAAACTTCCGCGCTTCGCGCGGGAGGGGGGGGGGGGGGAGGGGAAACTGAATTCAGACAAGGATTAAGAGTCGAAAACAATACAACGTATCGTCTCCTCTCTCTAATCATTTAATGAAATGTCAAAGCTTGGTAATTGGTGGCTAGTTTAGTCGGTTAGCCTCTACACCCCACCCCCACTGAAAAAGGTCTAGCGACGCCCCTGACTACTAGAAAAGGAAAGGGTGGCAAGAGCCTAAGAGAGGAGGGGTGGGGGTAAGAGAGAGAGAGGGGAATGTTGGGTGGAGTCACCGCGTCGAGGGGGTAAGAAAGATAAGCATAGATAATTATGTTGCTGTGTCGGGTCTGCTGTGTCGGTATACTTGTTCGATTCTCGTGTATTATGTCAATGCAGAAGTTTGAAGTCGGTGAGATGTAATAAGTCGGTCGGCCGGCAAATTTGTTTTCCCCTACGAACTGTGACTTTTTATCGGACAAAGAAACATTTTTGAAAATTAAGACAATGATTAAGTGTCGGTAAAACTAATCTAATCTTCTTTCTCTAATAATTTGATGAAACGTCAAAGCTTCCGCGCTTTGCGCGGGAGGGGGGGGGAACTGAATTTATACGACAAGGGAACGGTACAACGGATCGTCTTCTTTCTCTAATAATTTAATGAAACGTCAAAGCTTCCGCGCTTAAAAGTCGAAAACAGTCCAACGAATCGGCTTCTTTCTCTAATAGTTTAATGACACGTCAAAGTTTCCGCGCTTCTCGCAGGAGGGGGGGGGGGGGACGACGAATTCAGACAAGGATTAAGAGAAATAATTTAATGACTCGAACGTCAAAGCTTCCGCGCTTCGTGCGAGAGGGGGAAGCTGAATTCAGATGAGGATTAAGAGTGTAGGACGGTACAACGAATCGTCTTCTTTCTCTAATCATTTAATGAAACAGCAAAACTTCCGCGCTTCGCGCGGGAGGGGGGGGGGGGAGGGGAAACTGAATTCAGACAAGGATTAAGAGTCGAAAACAATACAACGTATCGTCTCCTCTCTCTAATCATTTAATGAAATGTCAAAGCTTGGTAATTGGTGGCTAGTTTAGTCGGTTAGCCTCTACACCCCACCCCCAGTGAAAAAGGTCTAGCGACGCCCCTGACTACTAGAAAAGGAAAGGGTGGCAAGAGCCTAAGAGAGGAGGGGTGGGGGTAAGAGAGAGAGAGGGGAATGTTGGGTGGAGTCACCGCGTCGAGGGGGTAAGAAAGATAAGCATAGATAATTATGTTGCTGTGTCGGGTCTGCTGTGTCGGTATACTTGTTCGATTCTCGTGTATTATGTCAATGCAGAAGTTTGAAGTCGGTGAGATGTAATAAGTCGGTCGGCCGGCAAATTTGTTTTCCCCTACGAACTGTGACTTTTTATCGGACAAAGAAACATTTTTGAAAATTAAGACAATGATTAAGTGTCGGTAAAACTAATCTAATCTTCTTTCTCTAATAATTTGATGAAACGTCAAAGCTTCCGCGCTTTGCGCGGGAGGGGGGGGGGGAACTGAATTTATACGACAAGGGAACGGTACAACGGATCGTCTTCTTTCTCTAATAATTTAATGAAACGTCAAAGCTTCCGCGCTTAAAAGTCGAAAACAGTCCAACGAATCGGCTTCTTTCTCTAATAGTTTAATGACACGTCAAAGTTTCCGCGCTTCTCGCAGGAGGGGGGGGGGACGACGAATTCAGACAAGGATTAAGAGAAATAATTTAATGACTCGAACGTCAAAGCTTCCGCGCTTCGTGCGAGAGGGGGAAACTGAATTCAGATGAGGATTAAGAGTGTAGGACGGTACAACGAATCGTCTTCTTTCTCTAATCATTTAATGAAACAGCAAAACTTCCGCGCTTCGCGCGGGAGGGGGGGGGGGGGAGGGGAAACTGAATTCAGACAAGGATTAAGAGTCGAAAACAATACAACGTATCGTCTCCTCTCTCTAATCATTTAATGAAATGTCAAAGCTTGGTAATTGGTGGCTAGTTTAGTCGGTTAGCCTCTACACCCCACCCCCACTGAAAAAGGTCTAGCGACGCCCCTGACTACATGTACTACTACAAGTACTACTATTGCTACTACTACCAGTGACGTAACTATACGAGGGGGGCAGGGTGTCGCAGATGGCATGTGCACCGCCTTCACTAATCGAATGGTTTAAAACAGTAAGAAAGAGAGATGAGAGCGAGGGAAGAGATGAAGGAAAAGGAAAACGAATATGCTTAAATTGATAAATTGCTCGAAAATGCTCGGAAGATTATACTATCAATATGTGAATCAAATGTAAGGACAACATTCATCTTAAAAAGGTGTCGATTTGAATCCGTGGTTGGGGGGATGATAGGTGCCAAAATATTGTCGGCAATGGATCAAAGCAACCAAGAGGTAGAAGCGTGTGGCAGGTTGCACCCCTCCCCAAGGGCGTAGCCAGGATTTCATTTTAGGGGGCGGTATTGAGCACGCAAAGCTAGGGGGTTGGTGCAGGAAGGGGGAGCTTCCCCCTTCCCCCGCGAAGCGCGGAAGCTTTGACGTTTCATTAACTTATTAGAGAAAGAAGACGATTCGTTGGACCGTTCTCGACCCTTAATCCATGTCTGAATCAAGTTCCCCTTCGTCCGCGCGTAGCGCGGAAGCTCTGACAGTTCATTAGGTTATTAAAGAAAGAAGGCGATTCGATGTACCATTCTCGACCCTTAATCCTTAATGTTTGGACAATTTCCCCTTTCTCCGCGCGTAGGGCGGAAGCTCTGAAGTTTTATTAGATTATCAAAGAAAGAAGAAGATT